TCCCATAATCTCCATGCCCTCCTCTTGCACAGGCTCAGGATGAATACAAAGTGACACCCTGGCTCCCTGCTGAATCACATAGTTAACCTTCTAAACTTCTCAAACTGACACAATGAACGACATCCCAGAAGGGTAAGGGCAAGTCCTTTTCACCCCAGTATGCACAACTGCTGAGTCACTTAGCCAAACCTCTAGACTCCCCAAGTTGACACAGTGTATCAACCGTAACAGTGGTAATAAAAAAGAAGGATGAGAAATACTGAACAAGACTGGTCAAGAGCACCCAAACCCAAACTGGTGTGAGGACTTAGCTGAGAATCACAGCTGGGAAGCAAGGGGTTAGGGGCGTGCAGCCCAGGGAGTAGCTGGGCCTCCCATGCTGGCCCTGCAGGCCAGGGGAGATTGAACCTCCTAAGCACAATGGAAAGTGATTGCAAGGTGTCTGAGCCTGTCTTACAGGTGTCAGTTCTTTCAAAAGCTTTCCCAGGCCGCCAGGTGGAGGCTGAGTGGTACAGAGAAAGAGTAAAGGAGGCTGATGCCCTGAGGGACCACAGAGGAGGAAGCAGGCCAGTCCTTGGGGAGCTGCCCACTGGGGACAGAGGACAGTCACAAGAGTGACAAGAAGGCATCTCCTGGTGCTCTGGGCTTTAGAAATCCCACCATCTTTTCAGCATACATTAAAAGAACCTCACAGCTGCCACCCCTCCCCAGAGGCCTGTCTCGTACCCACATCCCCGGGGTAGGAAGAAGATGAGCTTGTCATCTGGGGCCTGCCACCTCCAAGATTTCACCAGCTCTGCTCTCACAGTGCAGGTAAGAGGAGAAAGTCCTTGTGTTTTCTGTTTACCTCCATGTAAAATGAGTGTGCTTCTTCAGACTTCCCATGCTTGGGGCTGGGGATTTAGCTCAGCGGCAAAAGCGCCTGCCTGGCAAGCACAAGGTCGTGAGTTCGGTTCCCGGTACCGGAAAAAAACAAAAACAAACAAAACAAAACAGGCTTCCCATGCTTTGTACTTCCCAGTGTGGATGGACGAGTCTACCCAAGCTGAGATGTCTGGGGCCCAGAAACACACCTGTGGGCTTAGATTCAGGCAGCCCCGTGGAGGCTGGAGAAGCAGCTCAGCGGTGCCTGCCTAGCGTCATGAGGCCCCAGGCTCCATCTCCACCACTGCAAAGAAAAGGTGCGGGGTATGGCCCCTTGGGACATCTGCTGTTACACTGCCAAGCCACCCACCCGACCTTTCAAAGGACCCCCGTGCTGATAGACCGCTCCCTGCCCACTCATGCAGAGCAGTCAGAACTGAAGCAAAGAAAGCTGTCCGAAGCCTCTGTCCAGCCTCCCTGCTCCCTTGGCATTTGTTTGTTTGCTTGTTTGTTTTTGTTGTGCTGGGCACTTGAACCCAGGGCTTTGCACACGCTCGGCAAGTGCTGTGTGACTGAGCTACCCCCTCAGCCCTCTCTGTCCTCTCCCTCGGCTTTTCAACTGCTCCGTCTTCCCTTCTGATCACCACCTGGGCCCTAGCTGGCAGAAACTGATACTCCCTGCTGCCTTCCGGGTTTCTCCAGCTCTCTCCTTCCCGGAATTGACACCTTCTCCATTCCCAAGGCCAAACCCACCAAACCACCACAATGGGGGAACTGGCCAGCCAGATCTGGCCAGGCCCTCCCTGCAAATTGACTCGAAAGCCCCCGGGGGTTGGCTATTTTCAGTGAACCAGACAGACAAGCTGGTGGTAAAGGCAGTAGGCGGCAGCTTTGCCAACTCACTCATGCCGGGGAGCATGCCATGGAAAGAGGAAAAAGGATCAGGATAAAGCTACGTGGTCAGACTGGATTTCCTACCTCAGAGCTGCAGAGAAAAAAAGCTAACAGTCACCAGGTCTATAAAAGAAAAAAAAGTTCTTTCCAGGAACTTAGTAACATAGCAGTTAATTTTTGGTGCATGCTGACTTTGTGCCAGTCGCTGCACTGTGCTAAGTTCTTTACCCGTGTTCAGTACCTTCAGGAATGTCACAAGGCAGCTATCAGATCTCTATTTTGTTGACCAGGATATGGAGACTTAGAGTTGTAATTCCAGATCACATAGAAATATTCAGTAGAACTTGGGATATAGCTCAGCCCCACAGCACCTGCCTGGCATGCACAATGTCATGAGTTCGATTCCTGGTACCACAAAAAAAAAAAAAAAAAAGAAATATTCAAACTCAGGTCTGACTGATTCCACCGTGCCTTACTACCTGTCCCCATGTCTGCAGAATGTTGAGTTGTGAAAGTCCTCTGATCTAGGGCACTTGAGGGAAGAAAGGGAAATTCCACCCCCAACAAGGTACACCCCAACACACAGGCCAGAGAGAGGGCTTGCTGTGTGCAAGCTCCTCAGCTGCCAGGAATATCTTAGTGATTCTGATTCTTTATCCTTTCTTTCCCGCCTTCCTCCCTCTCCCGTGAATGTTCTCTTCCAGCTCAACCTATGGAGGACCAAGAGGGAAAGGAGAACACCGGCCTCCACTTCAGCGCCTGCTTTTCTGAAGGAACGGGTGGCCTCTCTCCCAGAAGGCGGATTCTGGATGGTTCCTGGCATCGGCAGGTAAGAGGAGCGTGCCAGCTGCTCTTGTCTCCACCCTAGGGCAGCTCGTCTCATTCTTTCCTGTACCCTCATCTCGCCCAGAATCCAGGCCACCAGATGGCCTAAGCAGGCTGTGTTTATTTGGGGCCGTGGAAACCTGCAGCTTCCTATTCCTGTGGCTCTTGGTCAGGCGCAGGCTGGAGCCCAGCCTTAGAGCAAAGATGGCATGGAAAAGCTCTGACTTATTACTCACAATTCTCAGCCCTAGACCTGAGCGAGTGCCTGGTTTTGCTTCTCTGAGCAGCTTATTCCAGTCACCATGGAGATGTCTCTGTTCCCTCTGGGATCTTGGGACTAAGTCAGTCAGGGAGGTACCCAGGGGACTCTCCTTTCAGCCTACAGCCCACAAGGAGTATGTCAATTGTCAGCCCTTCCTAGTTCGAGTTTACGAAGAGAATAAAATGGTTTATTCTCTCAGTGATGCTGAGATGGGAAAGCTTGACTCAATGACAATTTCCTATTTCATCAGCTAGGATCCCCAGGGGATGTTTAAAATATCCCAGGGGCATATTTTTCTAGGTAATTGTGCCTTCTCCTAAAAATAAAACTCTTCATTAAGAAACCACAAGCACTACTAATGATTACTAACCTTTATTGAGTCCTGTTTTCTCTGTAAGCTGGAGAGGGGTCGGGGGACCAGGTTTGAAACATTTCCTTCTGTGAGCTGCCTCGCCTCCTGCAATGGGTACACTTCTGCTGGAGTTAGGGGTGTGTATAGGCCATCTTGTGAGAAGACCTGAAGCCCTACCTGCCCTGTCCACCTCTCTACCTGCACTCAACTTTCAAAAACACATTCCCAAGTGAAAGTTTGGGGCTGGGGATTTAGCTCAGCGGCACAGCGCCTGCCTGGCAAGCGTGACGTCGTGAGTTCAATTCCCGGTACCGGAAAAAAACCAAAAACCAAAACACATTCCCACAGAATTCATTTGATCAGTACTGGTGGAGCGCCCATGATATCCCGCACCCTGGATGCTCGGCATACAGCAAGTGCCAGTGCTTTTCTGGAGCTTATAATATAGGGGAAAGAAACTCCCAACCTGAACAATATCTGGAACGAGTTCCTGTTCTCTAAATCCGAAGAATGAATCTTAGGAACAATGGAGGTTAAGAGCAGAATATATTTACTAGGGGTAAGAAAGCCTCTGCTCGACAGAAGAAGGGGGTCTCAAATGGGTTGCCAAGGAACCTGCCTTTTCTAGAAATTTTTATGAGCAAATCCATGACTCAAGGTGGGTCCAAGGTGGGAAACGGGAAATCGAAAGGTGGGCATGAGGTGGGACAAAACTATGATCAACCAGTAAGATCACAAGTATAATTGCTCAAGTAAATTTTATTAAATCAGCATCACATGCTGAAGCAAGCCATTTAGCAAGCAGGCATAAATACAGAACAGGGACTTTCCTGTAGGGGGTTGAGTTTGTGACTCTTCCTGGCTTCCCAGGGTGATAGATACCTATTTAGACTATCAATCCCTGATATTTATCCTTAGGGAAGTATGTAGATGCATTTGTTTTATCTTTTGTCTTGAGGTCTGGCCCACAGTGGAGGTGTCTCTCCCACATTTGCAAGGCATCTCATCTTCTGAACTGGCTCTTTCAAGGACCTAGCCCTATCTGACTGCCTATAATATTTCTATCTAATTTAGCTGCCTACAACACTTACATTCCAGCTGGAAGACAGGCAATGAAATTAGAAAAATCAGATTCACGGGGCAGGCATGGTGACACATGCCTTGTAATCACAGCACGTGGGAGGCTGAGGCAGGAGGATCTCTGCAAGTTCAAGGCTAGCCAGGGTTACAGTGAATTCATGGCTTACCTTAACATAACAAGGCTCTGTTTTTTTGTTGTTGTTGTTTTTTTTTTAAATTGTGGCCAGGCGTGGTGGCACAGGCCTGTAATCCCAGCACTTGGGAGGCTGAGGCAGTTAGATCATTGTGAGTTCGAGACCAGCCTGGGCTACAAAGTGAGCTCAAGGCCAGCCTGAACTGCATAGCGAAACCCTGTCTCAAAATGATTAAAAAAAAAAAAAATTATGAATTTAAAAATAAAGATAGCAAAACATTAAAAGGAAGACGAGGGATGCAGAGCAGGAGGGTGGGAAGTAACCAAAGCTGGGTAGAGAAGACCTCAGTGGTGTGTTTGATTTGGGTGTTGAGAGATCCAGGCAGGAGGAAACCGACAGAAAGGAAGAGAAGTGATGCCTTGAAGCCACACGGCTTCCTTTTACTGGAGGTTCCCAGCTTGGCCTCCCAGAGACAGTCAACCCGGAAGCACCACAGGGAAGAGCCTTGTTCACCTGCTCCGGGAGGTGGAACCTAAAAGCCGCGCGGAACCAAGTAACAGAGAGCGATGTGACCTTGCGGACAGGGCGAACAAGAGCACACAGGAAGCCGCCTCAAAACCCAACATGGCAGCCACTTGGTGCCTCCGCTGGACCTTGAGGAGAGTCGGAACCCAGGTGTTTTCGCTGCCCGCACCCTGCTCTCACCGGGCTCTGTACAAGCAAGCAGATGGGACCGAGTTCCACAGCATCTACAGTCTGGACAAGCTCTACCCCGAGTCCAGGGGCTCGGACACCGCCTGGAAAATCCCGGTGAGCCAAGAAAAGCAGGACGGAAGGGGCGTTTCCTCCCGTTGCTGGGTGACGTCAGGAAGCCAGGGCCCCATTGGCCGGGCGTGGAGCAACGTGGAGGGCTGCCGCCGGCAGCAGTCGCTGGAGAGTGCTGGGATTGAAGGCATGTGGACAGTCTCTGTGGCTTTTCGTGTGCGGGCGTTGGGTGGACCAGGTAGATAGGCGTCTTTCAATATTAGCGGCTTTTCCGCGTATGTTTCCTGGTCCTCACCTCGCAGATGCTCGTCCCTAGGGAAAACATGGTCTGGTCCTGCAAAGTGGACAGTAGAGGCCAGACCCTGGCATTTGGAACGTTCTTTTTTGTTTGTTTGTTTGGTTTTTTTTCCGGTTCCGGGAATCGAACTCACGCCTTTGCGCTTGCCAGGCAGGCGCTGTGCCGCTGAGCTAAAAAGAAACAAGGCTTCTTGTTCATTACTTCAAGATACAGTTACTTAGCTCACTGGGAGCAGGCGCTGCCTCAGACTACAACGAGAGGGCTAGAACCCCCCCAGTTCTATTGACCTTGCACCTTTAGAACTGGAGGAGAATACAGTGTTCATTCATTCATTCGACAAGTTGTTTTTTTTTTTTAAATAATGTTTTGTTTTTAAAAGTTCTCTTGCCCTGCGTGGTGCTGCACAGCTGTAATCCCAGCAGGGGAGGCTGAGGCAGAAAGGTTGCCATGAGTTCGAGGCCAGCCTTGGCTACATAGTGAGACCTTGTCGCAGAAAAACGGGGGAAAAAAAAAGAAAAAAAAAGGTCCTCTCTGTGTAACCGAGGCTGGCTTAGAACCCATGATCCTTTCTGCATCAAACTCTCCCCCAGGTGCTGGGATTACAGCCTGGGCCACCCCACCCATCTGACAAATTTCTTTTGGGAGTGAGTTTGTGTTTGTCATTCTAGACTACTGTATAGAGTATCCAAAGCAAAACTAAAGCTGTGGAGCTGCTGGAAGGAGACAGGCGACAATAAGTAATATAGAATGTGTAAGGTAGTTTTTTTTGTTGTTGTTTTGTTTTGTTTTTTTTTGTAAGGTAGTATTTTGGAGAAAGGAAAGTCCAGGAGGAAGGAGTGCTAGGAGCAGAGTGCAGAGTTGCAATGTAGAGTGGTCTGGGAAGGCCTCAGTGAAGAGGTGACATCCCAGTACAGACCTGGAAGGAGCAAAACAGTGAGCCATGAGGACTCTAAGGAGACAGACATCCAGGCAGAGAGGACACCAAGTGCACCCTCCTTAGGACAGTAACATGCTGGACTAGTGTGGCTGAGCCGGGCTATCAGAGGAGGTGAACCTGAAGAGAGGTAGATGGAGGAACGAGTGTTCACGGAGAGGCTTAGTAGCCTCTAACTTTTCCTCCGACTGCAATGGGGACCTATTGGAAGATTTGAGAAAGAAAATAGAATCATGCAATCTACTTTTACAAGGATTATTCTGTGTGTGTGTGTGTGTGTGTGTGTGTGTGTGTGTGTGTATCTCTGTTTGTGACAGGGTCTCACTTATGTAGTTCAGGTTGGCCTCAAACTCACTATGTAGCCCAGGCTGGCCTTGAGTTCATGGTAATCCTCCTGTCTCAGCCTTCAGAGTGCTGAGATTACAGATACGAACCACAACACCTGGCAGGATCACTCTTACAGAGCCTGGAGGACTAACAGTGCAGACCAGCAAGTTAGGAGACTGCAGTAATACAGGAAAGAGAGGATAAATAGGGTGGTTCTTGACAAATGGTCTGGTCTCAGACATATTTTGAGGAAAAACCTACAGGAGGATTTGCTAACGGTTGGATATGAAAAAAGAGTAAGAGAAAAGCAAAGTCTGGGCTCCTGAACAATGGAAGGATTGAATTGCCATTAATTAAAATGAGAGAGTGGTGTTCATTCATTAAGCAAAAGGTTATTGTGTACCTACTCTCAGGCGCTTTAAAGCATAGCAGATACCACAGCCATAATGGCAAAACAGATGGGGTCCTTGCTTCCTGGAGCTTACACTCTAGTGGGAGGGGCTTTCACTTAACAAAGAGGAAAAACACCAAGTACTGAGAAGTCATATTTTTACTGGGGACACTGCCAGAGGCTTCAAACCAGGCCCCTACTCTCTGGGTTCATTTGCCTGAGTGCAGGGAAATTTCGTAAAAGTAGAAAAACGAAGGCAAATAGTCTGTCCTTTCCCAGATGCACACAAGCTTATCAGAGGGGTAGGACAAAAGCTAGGAAAAGACTATATGTATTTGTCACCAGCTAAGTCCAAGGAGTTCCCCAAAGAGGATTTCTTTGTTTTTTCCCATATAGGGGTTTGAACCCAGTGCCTTTGCACTGAACTACATACCAGCCCTTTTATCTATTTATTTATATATTTTGTCTTTCTGAGACAGCGTCTCACTATGCAGTTCAGGCTGGCCTTGGATTCACTTTGTAGCCCAGGCTGGCCTCAAACTCACAATGATCCTCCTGCCTCAGCCTCCTGAGTGCTGGGATTACAGGCGTGTGCCACCAAGCCCAGCAATATCAGCCCTTTTAAATGTTTTTCTTTTGAGATAAGGTCTTGCTAAGTCACTAAGTTTCAAAGAGGAGATGGGGACCTCGACTTGGTCCACTGAGTAGTTTCTTGACTTAGGGCAAGAAAGGATTTCAGGACTTGCAACTGTGGCATAGGCAGATTGATGAGGCAGAGTTAAAAAGAAAGGGAGAACAGGAAAAGGACTCCAGTTTGAGTAATGGGAGGGAGCACACCCAGATGCAGTGGGACAGACTGGCTCACGTACAAAAGCACAGGCCAGCTTTTATGGATTAACTAAAGGTCTGGTCAGTCACTATCTTAGCTGTGGTTTTATAAGTGGAGGAATCCTTGTACATAGGAAATTGCTCCTGCTTGGGAGGTGATCTCACTATGATATGGTCTGCAAAGCTCTGCTTTTCTTGAAATTCAAGGTAATTATAGATTTGGAAACTTCTAAGCATCCCTGCAGAAACCCTGGAACTGGACATGGAAAGATGGCAATTGAGTGTTCCCTACAAACTGAAGATTACTGTAGTCACTCTTCTCTTGGTGTGCTTAGTCTTGAAGGGGCATGGCATAGACTAGGTAAATTTAGAACTAATAAACCTTGCCATACAGATACTCCTTAAGTGATTAGCATGGCTGTGTGCAGATCCCAGGAGGGATCTGGCCCAGAGTTTTAAGGTAATAAGGGAGACAAAAAATTGAGTTTCCCCAGCTCCTTTTTTACCTACATTTATTTCTTCTGCCCTACCTGAGATTAAGCCAGGCTTTCGTCCATCAGTGGACCCAGAAAAATACTGAAAGTCTGGTTCTGTTGAAACTTCCTTGGCACCACAGCTGGAGGTGGCAGTTGTTCTGAGCATGAGGAAGCTAGACAAATAGCTTAACTTTCAAATCCCTGATTTTTAAAGCTCCTATTCAGGTTCTTGGTTTTCATGTGATGAATTGACCAGGATACTGTGCTAGTGAATACGTGGGCCTACTTCAGATTGCTAGTAAGGGGATTCCCTTTGAGGAACCTGAAGTTCAAGGCATTCATTACACCTCTGAAGAGTGACATCAGGTAGCAACTGTGGGTATATGGGACGAGTTGAGGAAAGAAGTTTGAGCTTGAGCCAGAGGGTAAGGAGTCATCAGCACAGACAGCGTTCTAGGGAAAGAGGAAAGAGAGAAGAGGAAGGAGTTCAGGAGCCCATCAGTGTTTAAAGGTTGCAGAGAGGGCTGGAGATGTAGCTCAGTGTTTGTGCGTGTCCTTAGCATCCATGAGGCCCTGTGTTCAATCCCTAGCACCAGAAAATATAAGTAAAAATAAAAGTTTCAGAGAACTGGCAAAAGGAAGTGAGAAAGAGGCCTAGGGAGGCAAGAGGAAAATCTGGAGAGGGCCACTCAGGAGGAAGGGGAAGAGCAAGCTTCAGGAAAGAGGGCGTGGCCTGTGGGCCTCAGAGCTGCAGAGAGATGCACAGGGTGAGGATTCCACCTCAAAATAATCCTGTGATAGCCAGGCATGGTGGCACACACCTATAATCACAGCACTCGGGAGGCTGAGGCAGGAGGATCGTTGCGAGTTCGAGACCAGCCTGGGCTACAAAGTGAGCTCAAGGCCAGCCTGAACTGCATAGCAAGACTCTGTCTCAAAAAGAGCAAAAAAAAAAAAAAATTTCTGTGATAAACAGGATGAAGATAGCCAGAGAAGGTACAGACATAGGTGCTTTGAGCATAGAGGCCCTGAAAATCCTGGAGGGGTCAGTGTTTGCTGGGTTTGTGGACCTGAGGGTTTAAGGCTAAAGAGCATTGGTGCAGATCCCTGTGCTCTGGGAGAGACACAGAGGTCAAAAGGCCTAGAGTGACTAGCTTAGTGAGACACAAACCCTTGGAGCAGATGTCCCAGGCTTGTTCAAGGCAGGCTGTCCACATGTGAGCTTCCTGCGGCCCTGCAAGAATGCAGTGGCCCAGCAAGCAGACTCACTGCTGCAGGTTGGCAGAAGGTATTGCTTTTGGAGTCTCCCAAACCCCTTGTGCTGTGGCTCCCCTGATCCTCTCAGGGATCCAAGCCTCTGATGGTACCCAACGTTAGCCAAGGCTGGGGGGGGGGCGGGGGACAACTGGAGACACTGGTTCTGTTGTCCCAGAGGAGAGTTTCTGTGACAGTGTCTCTGGAGACTGGGCATGTTTGGGTTTTTTTTGTTTGTTTTTGTCTTTTTGAGACAGGGTCTCGGTATGCAGTTCAGGCTGGCCCTGAGCTCACTTTGTAGTCCATGCTGGCCTTGAACTTGCAATGATCCTCCTGCCTCAACTTCCTGAGTGCTAGGATTACAGGTGTGCACCACCACGCCTGACTGGGCATGTTCTTTTGTCATGCTGATGTGATGATGATTTTGCTAGGGACCTGAAAGCAGAAATGTATTATGTTCGCATTGTGGTTTTGCACCATTTATCTTTTGTTGCTCTGGACCAGTTAGGAGTCACCCAGCAGCTAATACTTTATTTGATGCTGTGTGCATTACATTACAGGATGGTGCAAAACAGGCCAGCAATGACATCCCTATAGGTAAGTGATTTTATTTTATTAAAAATCAGTTATTTCTGGCTGGGGGTGTAGCTCAGTGATGGAGCACTTGCCTAGAGGCATGGGACCCTGGGTTCTGTCCCCAGCACCACCACCCAAAAGAAAAAAAGAAAACCAGTCTTCTCCTCTGCCCCTCAAATATTCCTTCCATATTTCTTCAGACCAATTAAAATAAAGAAACCATCTCTGGATGTGCAAAAGTGCAGTTGTTGCAGCATTGTTTAGAATACTAAATAAAAGCGCAGTACTCACAGAATATTACAAAATGTGCCACACAAATGGAGAGCGGACATGTTTGTAACAGTCTTTACAATAGATATATTGTTATGGGAAAAAAGAGGTGTACAGAAGAGTATATCAACCACTATTTGTGTGTCCTTCGTGTATCGGAAATCTATCTGTATATCTATGTCAATATATGTATATCTGTATCTATATTTGAAAAGATGTATAAAAACCTGGATAATGACTGCCTTGGGGAAAAGACAAACTTGGTGGCTGGGAACATGAGTGGGACACTTCTCCATGTGAACCATTTGTATAACTTTAGAATTCTGTACCTGTCAAGCATCATAAGGTCTAACAGGTATGGCCCGGAAAGAAACAGTGAGCCCTTTTTAGACTCAGAGAGTTTATAAATCTCATGGACTGTGAAAGGGAAAATAGCTAAAGGCTTCCGCTGCCCATATCCAATGCTCAGCATGACAGAGAAGCAGAGGGGCCAGAGATAGCCAGGTGCAGTGGTACACATCTGTAATCCCAACACTTGGGAGCCTGAGACCAGAGGATCATAAGTCTGAGCCTAGCTTGATAGCTTAGGGAAACACTGTCTCAAAATTAAAAATTTAAAATGTACTGGGGTTGTAACTCAGTGTGAACCCCCTGGGTTCAACCCCAAGTACTGCAAATAATAATAATAATAATAATAATAATAATAATAATAATAATAATAAAACAGATTTTAAAAAAGGAGAGAGCCTGCAATGGAGAGGACGCCCTGTGGCTACAGAGCTGACGTTGTGCTGAAGTAAAGTAGTTCTGTAGGTTGCTGGTCTGCCCCAAAGTTGAGTGTGGAGGAGGAGGCGGCAAGCTCCATATCACCTCCGAACTGGAAGCAGAGAATATTTCTGCCAGCCTTGCTGAGGACATATGCAGAAACTGAGTGAGTAGCGGCCTTGAGTAGCTCCCCCGCAGCAATGAATCAGACACAGTCCTGCCCTGCTGGAGCTTCCAGTCCATGGGAGTTCCTCATCTACCACACTGTGAAGTACATTAAGCAGAGTTTGTCGCTTAGCTTGAGCTTTTAGCAGAGTCCTTGCTTTATAACAAACTGCACAAAGCTTGGGCAGAAAGAATGTGCAAGGCTAGAAACAAACAACCGTGTCATGATTTTGCTTCCTCTGCTGTCAGGGAGAAAGTCCCTTTGGGAAAGTCCCTTTGCTCTGACTTCACTTTTGACATCTGTAAATAATCTCCAGGGTTACAGCTCTGAATGTTGCATTGTGTGCACGTGTGTGTGTGTGTGTGTGTGTGTGTGATTGAAAGAGATGTGTAACAGGGATAGTGATGGTGGTGGTGATTTAGGAGTTTGCACATGTGGCTGTAGCGTAATCATTTGTGTGTGTCTGTGTGTTCTTCTGTTTTACAGATCGCTTGACAATTTCTTATTGTCGGAGTAGTGGTCCTGGGGGGCAGAATGTTAACAAAGGTACCTTGCTATTTTCTTTTGCTTTAAAACTTAGCTGGGCAAAAAGAAAAAAAAAGAAAACTTAGCTGGGAGAATAAAGGGGTTTTTCAGCAGCAGATTAAATACCCGCAGCTTATAATAACCCTCTTTATCCTCCCTAATGTGGTCTGATTGTCAGGCTCTCGGCTGTGGGTTACTAAGGTTAGAACTGGCTTGTGAGGCTAAACAAAGAGAATTCACAGTGTGAGCCAGTATCCCGCTCCAGGAACAGATTTCCTTCATTCTCATCAAACTCATTCCCCATATTCTTCTTAGAACTTAGTAAAGCTGTAAGGGAAGCACTGGACATTTGGTTACCCGCAATCTCTCCTTGTCCCATAGAGTCTCATTGTCTTTGCAGCTCTATGGTTGGAACACCCGTGGCGAGGTATCTGGCCTCCCTGTGTTTCAGGGCGGTCACTGGCCCCCTGGGTGCGGCAGCTTGCTGAGAGCCTCAGTGACCTGTGCTTTCTTCCTCCATTCAGTAAATTCGAAGGCTGAAGTCAGGTTCCATTTGGCAACCGCGGACTGGATTGCAGAGCCCGTGCGGCAGAAGATTGCCCTCACGGTAACCACCCGCCTCCTTTCTTTCCCTACAAATCCCTCTGGGGCTTTTAAACCTTTATTTGTGGGATCCTAGTTTTTCCTTTGTTCTCTGCAGCATAAGAATAAGATCAACAAGTCAGGAGAGTTGATTCTTACTTCTGAAAGCAGCCGCTATCAGTTCCGGAATCTGGCAGATTGCCTACAGAAAATCCGGGACATAATCGCCGAGGCCAGTCAGCTGCCCAAGGAGCCAACCAAAGAAGATGCTCGGCTAAAGAGAATCAGGTAGGAGGGGCTGGGGATTTAGCTCAGCGGCAAAAGCGCCTGCCTGGCAAGCGCAAGGTCGCGAGTTCAGTTCCCGGTACCGGAGAAAAAAACCAAAACCAAAAAAAAAAAAAGAGAGAGAGAATCAGGTAGGAGAAAATGCCCTGGGCTGCCGGAAACCAATCCAGGCAGCGGTGATCCGCACAGGTGAGAAAGGAGGCGGGAGAGAGCCCAAGAGCGCCCCAAAGGCAGGCAGGAGAGCTGCGGGAAAGCAGGCACCCTACTCCGACAGAGGAGCTCATCTGGCACCTGCTGTCTGGGCTGTCAGTTTCCCGCGCTGCTTCCTGCTCTCACCACTTTGAAACACACTCATTTGGATCTGGGTCTCATCGCAGCCTTTCTGCTTTCAGGATAGAAAACATGAATCGGGAAAGGCTGAGGCAGAAGAAAATAAATTCTGCCATAAAAACAAGCAGGAGGGTGGATATGGACTGAAATCACCTCCTGCAGCCAGCAAGAACCTCAGGGACAGCTGAAGCAGAAACAGCACCATGAGGAGATCTCTTTTTCATTTCTATTTTTGCTGTTTATCCTTGTCTGTAACATTGGAACCCTCACAGAAATGTTCATTTGGAATGAGGGTTGCAGGTCTTCATAGATGATCATCATATTGTCCAATCCAAGTTACCACTGAAGGTCTTGTTACCTGCAATAAACTTCTAAGCAAATGGACTCTTGCTTTTCATTCAGAATGCCTCAGAACAAAGCTGCTGTCTTTTCTCAGTGGAAATCTGCCTCACAACTACTGCCCCAGTGCTCACTGTGTCACAGTAGGCAGAGGACAGGGGGACCTGGGTCTGCACTCAGATGCACACAGGCAGGTGGGTGAGCTGAGACAGGTAAACATGCATTTGAGCTGGGCCTTTGTCTTAGTTACTTTTCTCATTACTGAGACAAAATACCCAACACCCAGAGTCAAAGAAGGAGAGATTTATTGTGACTCACAGTTTGCAGAAGTTTCAGTCCATAGTTGACTGGCTCCAACGCGGGGAGGCATGGCAGAGGGGCATCACAGAGGAGAAACAGCCCATGGCAGGCAGAAGGCTGCAAAGCAGTGAAGTAGCAAAGCAGCAGCCCGCCTCTCCCTTTCATCTCTTCCAAACCACCCACCTTTTGGATGGTGCCACCCACACCCAGGGAGGACCTTCCATTATCCACAGCCAGAACTGTGCTCAGCCAATCAGTGGACTAATTTAATAATCGCACCCTTCATCCCAGCATCACACACCCTAGATCCAGCCACCTCTGAAAAGCCCCACCTGTGACTACATGAGGCTTTGTGGGGACATCTAGATACAAACCATAAACCTTGGAAAAGGTATGGGGTTTCTTCTTTTATTAAGGTAAGAGATTTTAATCAGTGAATGTAGAGGCTGGGCCATGGGAGGTGATAAAGTCAATGGCACTGAATGGCAGGAGGCTTGTGGGAAGTAGACAGGCCTTAGGAAGTATGGGGTTTAGATTTCACAAAATGTAGATAACGGGGAGCTGTTGAGGATTTGAGTGGGAAGAAGTGTGTGAGGAGTGCACTGGGCAGTGGGCCTTAAAGGTAGGAAGAGTGAACTGATAGAGGGTTTTGTGGTGGTTTTGTTTCTTGATACTGAGGATTGAACCCAGGATTCCTTTACGATGCACTACATCCCCAGCCCCTCCCCGTTTTTTGGAGACAGGGTCTCTGTATCAGTGCTAATGTACAGTATACATAGTATAAATATGTAAGGATCTGCAAGGTAGGCTTACAATGGCCGCCTGCAGAGTCAGGTATGGAAGAGCCTAAGAATCCAGTCAAAGGCCAAAGGCCTGGAGCTCACTGCAGTGGCCCATGTGAGTCTGAATCAGGAGGCCAAAGGGTCTGCACTGGAAGGCTGAGAAGTCTGCACTGGAAGCCAGGAGATGACATCTAAGGTGAAGGTGAAGACTGGAGCTCCTCCAAGGAAACAGAAACGAGCCTTCCTTCTTCATTCCTCTTTTCATTTTCTGCAGGCTCTAAGCCTATTGGATGGTGCCATTCACCCAGAGTGGTTCTTCTGTGTTCAGTAAGGGCATTTCTTACTCAAACTGACAGCAGCGAACTATCACGGTCTCAAGTCACTGATTTGCCCAAGCTGGGCTCAAACTTATAATCCTGTTTCAACCTCCCAGAGTGCTGGGGTTCCAGACATGCACCTGCATGTCCAGCTCAGGAAGCAATTTTGTAATCCTCTGGGTGAGGGGACAAGTACCCAGGCTGACATAACATTAGTAAATTACGAGTATATATGAACTTCTTAGAATGTTCTACATTATTTTTATCTGTTTCTTTCATTTGATAATTACTGCATGGTGGTGTCCAAATGCCAGATAATGAAATATAGTTGTATCTACCCTGTAGTAGTATGTACAATGGAGTCCAGAAAAGGAGAGAAAGACATTTATGAGTGACTTTGGCAAAACAGAAGGTGTGGAATACAGGCTCCTGGTCTCCAAGGGCTCAGTCTAGGAGAAGGCTGCAGCTCAGAGGCAGGGCATGCAGCATGCATTGGTTCATTCAGTAATTCAGGCACACTCACTGGGTAATGAAGTGAGGAATCCACTACTGAGCTAGACCAAGCCCATTCTGGCGGAGAACTGACATTCCATCAGATGATGATAAAAGCTGAGAAGAAAAACAAGATTCCTGTTAAAGGACCATGACCTAAAGTGTAGTAAGTGATATAAGACTGCGAGGCAAAGGAATGGCTAGCTCCGGATGGAGGGTCGGAGATGTACTTGAGGTTCTTCAAATGGGTCCCAGGTAGAGGAGGAAATGGCCAGCCTAGTGAGACAAAGATGTGTCACTTGGAGCCACCAGAGGGGCCAAGGGCAAGGCTGGGACAGTTGGGACAACTCCTAGGCTTTCCTGTGGCTGGTACTAGGCCACTCCATCTCTGGAGGAGCCAGATTTAAATGCAAGAGCCAAGACATTTGAGGTGGGGAGTGAGGAAAGGTTTAGCCATATAGTTCAGGCTGGCCTTGAACTCACAGGGATCCTCCTGCCTCAGCCTCCCAAGTGCTGGGATTATAGAGGTGTGCCACCACACCAAGACATTAAGATTTTGCTCTCACAGAGGCTGTCAGGAGATGACTGACCTCATGACAGGATGAGGAAAGACCACAGGGAAGAGGATAAGGGTTGGCCGACTGACCTGCATGAGCAGGAAGGGACCAATCCTGGAACAGGGACAGTGGCAACCGGAAATGGGAGAAAATTCAAGCTACTGAAGGATTAGAGGGTAGGACAGTTTGCCTGTGTGTGACTGGAGGATGCTGGGCAAAGTCACCAAGGAGTGGCAGGCTTGGGGCTGGCTGTCTGCAGGAGTTTACTGTGCCGGCCTGGAGAGAAGTGCTAGACCTGTTACAGAAAACAGACCAAATATGGGAAGAAGCAACGCCAAGAAGGTTAGGAAGCAGTTTGTTACACCAGTGGCTTCTGACTAGGATCTCTCCCTGTAGGGAACCTCGTTGGTCTCTCACTATATCCTGGAGAGAAATGGCAGTGGGTATGAGAAAAATAAAGACAAGAGAAAAGAGCTGGGTTGAGTGAAGTTACCTCTTACCTGATGGGAAGGGGACTGACTTCCAAAGGAGGGGCGTTTATTTTATACTCTTGCAAAGTTAGTATCAGGAAAGGTAATGTTGCCTAGCAACTAATGACTGTAATTGTCCAGGTAGGATGCCTTTTTCAATAATGAGGTAGCTTGACTGCTTGAGGCACTCTGGCTCTGTCCTACCCTCACACATCTGACCAATAACAGACTCCAGCAGCTCCCAACATCTCCCAAAGAGTCAGAACCCCCTGACCTGTTGGGTTTCTGGGCTTTTAAAGGGAAAGTGAGCAGGGAGATACATAGGCAGATTTAGTGGATATGATTGGAGGGTTGGGTGACATCAGGTTGCTGAAGGAGCTTGAACATCCCAAGTTATATTGCAAGGCCATCAGTTATACAAAGGCAATAGAGACAGGGTTACACAAAGGAAGAAATGTTTTGCCTGCAGGACACGTCCACTTGCTTTTGGCAGGCATCCTGGGCAGACTTTTATTTAAAATTCTCATTTCCCCCTTCAGGCCCAGAACGGAAAAGAGCCCTGGAAAGAGAAGCAACCTGGAGCTCTACGCTGGGAGATCCACCTACCACCAAGACACCAGCCAGGACTAGTCTTGGGAAAGGTTAGGAGCATGGAGCAGGCAGCGTGAGGGAAAGCAGAGGAACAGTGCCTGGGGATTGGCCCTGGAGCACAAGGCTGACCTGGGAGCCTCTTGGAAGGTACTGGTGGGAAATGAAGGCACTGGGAAAGCACCCAGGTACACAGGGAGATAAAGAGAAAAGAAAGGGCCGGGTCGGGAGCCGACCCTATAAAAAAGGCAAAAGAGGGCCAGGGATTTAGCTCAGTGGCATAAGTACCTGCTTGGCAAACGCAAGGTCCAGAGTTCGATTCCCGATACCAAAAAGAAAAACAAAATAAAAAGGGCAAAAGAATGAACACGGGGGATCTCAAAGACACGATGCTGAGTGAAAGAAGGCAGACTCTACAAAAGATCATGATTCCACTTCGTTAGAATCAGACAAAGCACTTCCGGTGATGGAAGTCCGGAAGCGACTGGTCTGCATGCAGAGGTGGCCAGCGACTCGGCGAGGTCGGAGCCTCCGCAGCGCGATGCTCTGCGTTTGAGGGAAGTGGCAGTGTCCGCGCTGGTACACGTAGACAAGCTCATCGCTGCCACCTTGAGACCTGCACTTACTGCCTGCGTGTTGCGTTCCGATAGCCACTAACTTAAAGGAGGCCATCGGAAAGGCAAGAGGCCGGAGCTACATCCTACATCCACGCGAGCTTCATCCTCCGTTCTTGCTGCCATGGGGGGCGGGAAGACCACTTGTGCAGACAGAAGCAAAGAAGAATGTCCCTGCGTCCCCTTTACCCTGCGAGGTCTCAAATCAGGCACAGCGGAAACTGAACGATGTCCTTGGCTGTGGCTTATGTTTTTACATCTTTCAGATGTATGCGGAGTTTAATAACGTAGTTTAAACGTCTAATCCTTTTTAAAAATGTGTTTATTTTTATAAAATACGAAAAAGAACACATAATAAGTATTACATGCCTATGATATGGGAGCATTGATCTTTTTTTTTTTTGTAGAGGGCTTCCCTTTGCAGTTCAGGCTGGCCTGAAACTCATTTTTTAGCCCAGGCTGACCTGGGACTTACAGCAGTCCTCCTGCCTCAGCCTCTGGAGTGCTGGGATTACAGGTGTGCGTCGCCATACCCTGCAAACTCTAAATTTTAAAGGAAAGAAATATTAGAGTGAAATGTATGTGTTTGTTATTATTATGGCTGGATTTGTGCATTTTCTTATGATGTGAACGATTTTCTGTGCTACAGTGTTCTTGGTTGCTATTTATCCGTTCTCTTTCACTTTCTGCACTATTTTTTCCTAAAATTCTTGAGTGTCCTTGGTTCTTGGAGGTGGACAGAAGGCCCCAGAACGGTGGGCAGAAAGCTCCTGCGAATCCCGGTGCTCAGCGTCTGTGGTGCGGGTCCAGGCGTCCTCCAGGGGTCCGCGGCTCCAGGGTGCGCGGGCCGGGCGGGAGCTGGCGCTGACGGGGGCGCGTGGTCGGTTCCTCGCCCGCCAGCTCAGCCCTGTGGCGCCTGACACAA